TAAATGTTGTTCGTTATAAGATAGAAGAAAAGTGCGCGGGATGATTATATGCGCAGGACGATTATGAACCACGTTATTATTTTTTGTTATAATATTAGCTTATTTTGCTTTTATAATATACTAATATTATATATAAAAATCTATTATTATCTTTTTATATTTAGGCTTTATTATATACTTAACTTTATAATTAATTCTATTAATTATAGCCTTAAGATTATCTAAAATAGCTTTATTATTCTTATAATATAATTTTAGCTTCTTAAACTCCTTTATCTTATTATATTATACTCTTTGCTTAGTTAAAGGTTTCTTATTAGCTAGTATATTTTTATTCTTACTTATAATAATAGCTTAAAAGAGTTTAGTATCAGACCTAGTCAGTATAGTAAAGGTAAGGGCTATAGTAATTTAAGATTCCTTAGCAATAGGGTTAAGGTTAAAGTCAAGGGTATTATTAGCTATAGTAGTGGTCTCTTTAAGGGCGCTAGTAGCTATAGTAGTAGCGTTATTAATAGTCAGAAGGAAATAGGGTTATTAGTCCTAGCCGGGCTAGATAAGTCGAAGACAGCTATATTAAATGCAGTTTAAGGGGCTGCCTCTATATTCTTATGTATTAATAACTAGTTATTAGTTAGTATTACTATTATTAATATGTAGTCTAGCTCTAATAAAGTATTATATAAATTAAAAAAGAAAAGGCAACAAGACCTTAAAAGGTATTATAATTATTAAAGTAAAGAAAAGATTAGTAGCTCTTTTAAATAGGGCAGCTATCTGATAGCTCTAAAGTATATTAATCTTATATTTATACTCTGCCTTAATTATAGAGTTATTATATATATATATATAAGGCACCCTATTCTTTTACTTATTAGGTATAAGGATCCTGCTTATTTAAATTTAGAGGTCTGAATTTCTTTATCTTCTTTAACCTTGTTAGAGGCGCAGAGGGTATTAGAGAGGCTTGCTTTAAACTTAAGTCTGACCTCAAATATTAATACTAACCTAGAATAAGCTAGCGACAGGTCCAGAGATACAGATCTCTTGTAGTTAATAGTTTAACAATCATTTCTAGTCAAAGGGCAGTCTTAGAATAATATTACGTGTTATATTAGAAGCAGGCGATAAGTGTGCGAGATCTTTAGCCTATGTTGAGTGCTATTCTAAGACTGCAGAGCTGACAAGGATAGCACTAGGGTCGCTCCTATATAGTGAGCATGCCTCTTACTAACGTGTAGTGCTAATTAATACCTGGCGGCCCTAGCGCTAGCGGCCGACAAGTATAGCAGCTGTGACAAAAAGTGAATTATAAGAGTAAAACTTAAATTAGCTACATCAGGCTAATTATTAAGGCTAGAGATCTATAAATAATATCATTTGAAAACCTTTGAAAATCTTTATCTAAAGATAGTAATTTCAGATTAATAAAGCTTATATTAGAAGAGGAAACTAAAAAATAATAAAGAAGTAATAGTTTTATAAAATAACTTTGAAATCAACTTTATTATTATAAAAGATATAACTTTATAAATAATACATTATATTAATCTATTTATAGACTTTTTCAAAAATCTTTTCAAAAGTTATAACTAAAATAGTTAGTAAGTTATTAATAATTTAAGAGCTTAAAGCTTTTCTATTTCTTGTTTCTTTTAAAACTTAGCATTCTATACTAATTAATTCCATTACTTTATATTATCTTTACTCTTTTATTTCTCTA